GGCGCCGGGGCGGCCTCTGGGGCCGGGCGCCCGCCCCGGCTGCCGGAGCCCCGGCTGCCTTGCCTGCTGCAAGGCGTGTGTGAAACGCACATATTTATATGAATAAACGAATCGGTGAATGAACGGCCTTGTTTCGGGTTGCCTCTTGAGGCTGGTGCAGCACCGCGGTGCCAGGTCGGCTCTCCCGGCTCGCAGCCCGGGTTGCAGAGGTTTGAGGGCTCTCCTGCCCTTGGCAGCGCTGGCAAGGGGCTTCAACAGCCCAAACTGGGCCATGCCTCAACAGCGAGTGTCCAAATCCAGTCCTTTTCTTATTCCTACAGCCGTTAGTTACATATCAGGTTATTAAGAGATGTTGTTAATTAGTATATGGAAGTGCTGAATAACAGATTTACCATGAGGGCCCTGGAATTTTTCCATATAGTGCTTTATTGCTGTGAGGAGGAGCTGCGCGCTGTGGCCTGCACTCACCCCGAGACACCTGTCCAGTCTACAGGAGAAGAAACACCTAAAGGCAGCTTGATCTTTCCTATTTTATCCTCCAGATTCCCTGCATGCAAGCTGCAGAGTTTGTTTCAGTGTTAAATGTATCTGCATTAAACCAGAGCATCATAAAAATCTGATTCTGATGCTGCACTCTGGATTTTCTATTCCTTTCTTGTCACGGCTTCCCTGGTGGATTCATTAGTCCGGACTCTGGCTGGCCATGACCCCCTCGCTCTCAAACACATTAACAAGGAAATGATGAAGTATAAAACATTTTATCATCACAGCTGCTCACGCCAGTATGGCCACAGGTGCCTTGCTCTAAGATATTTAAGCATGCAACAAGCCTGCTGCGTGATTTCTGAATGTTTAGGTTGAGTTTATCCTTCACAGTCTCTGAGGGTATATTCAGGCTTCAAAGAATACCCATGCCACACACGTTCTGCTCTCTACTACCAAGTAAATAAATGTTTATAGCTTAAAGCTCACCTAATTAAGGAAGCCCAGTATTATTGTGTGCCCTGTGAGGGTCACTTGAGTAAACATGTATACACCAGAGATGATTTTTTGGAATATGGAAGGAATGTGTCTCCTCAAACAGGGATCCAAAATATACAACAGTAGCAACTTTAAAGCAGTGCTTGACTACGGTTTACTGAAATACACATCAGCCCTTCTCTTCTTAGATACACTAGTGCCAAACTGCAAAATGTTACTGCACTTGCCTGTTCAAGTGCTCCAGATTTTGGAAAGAACTAAATGTCCAACAGAGCTCTTCGCAAACAAGCAGCAATTAGCCTGAGCACAGGGTTCAATTACACTGTGTTGCTCAGGAAGGATAAGATGAACCAGCTAAAGATTTAAAGTTAGAGGTGCTGAGGGGTAGTGGGGATTTGTCATTCAAATTATTTAACCTTTGCACAGAGGTTGCTGCCCAGCATTTCCTGGGCTGTTTTACTGAACTGCAGGCCCTGAACGGGGACGAGGCCTCGTACCCTCTGCCCCGCTGGCTTGTTACACTGCGCGGAATGGAGACCTCGCTTTGTACCCGCAAGGCAAAAAGGCACAAATGGCTTCGGCGTAACTCAGGAAACAACCATCACTCTTACCAAACAAAAGCAAAATATCAGTCTATTGAGGCCAAAAGTTTAAGCACCCAGGAGTTAGAAGTTACATTTTATAGAGAGCAAAGCTGCTGCAGCATCAGCTGCTGTGGGAGCTGCAGCTTGTTCACTGCAAGAGGTGGAAGGAGGGAGTGCTTCGTCAAGCGATTAAGTTCAGTTTTGCAGATCAGTCTTCAGCCTCTCCCTGCTTTGGGGTCCTAGTTTTTATGTGACACTAACCCTGTCCTTTTAACTTCGCTCCTCACAAGTGAATTCTTCACAATTATGATTTTCTAGTCTGCCTGCTGCAGACAAAAACTATGACACAAACACAGTGAGAGCTAAAGCTGCTGAGATCGTCGAAGAGTTTTTACTTACCCCCAAACTGCCATCCAAGCAGAGCAGATGTTCCTTACTCCTCTTTATTGGCTTTGGTAGGTAAAATAAGAATTTCTTTTTGTTCCAGAACATCTGGGGAAAAAAATGAATTAGTTAATATTTGTAAAGCATTCAGACATTTTCATAAAGCGGACCACAGCAAATCAAATTTCAAATGTGGTGCAGTAAATGTGGGCATGGAGCCACACAGAGGATATTGAACCAGTGTATGGCAAGTGTGCGTGGTGTGAGTGTAAACTAGTGACTGGATCACGAGCTGAGCACTAGCCAACCTGTCAACAGAAGGTGACAGAAGTCCTTTGGAAAACTGCTCTGGGATCACGTAGCAGGACACTGCCACAATGCACGGGGGAGCAAACAGGAACAGATCAAGTTTCTCTAGAGTATTCACAGTTCTTGCTTTTCTCACCTTTGGCATGTTCACCTCCAAACAGCACTATTCACAGTTATCACAGTAACTCCTATCTCTAAATTCGGAGTGCAGACCTCCACTGTTGGAGCTACTAGCGGTAGCTGGCAGTAGCTGTGAGCAGCAGGGGCAGGACTACCGGGGACACAGCGCGTGCACCGTGTCCGGCTGCCTCAGATAATGGCTCAAAACAAAGCCAAGTGGCAAGAGCTAGAAACCTTGGTTTTTCTTCAAGGCTCTGGAAGATTTTTGTAATTTTTGTCTCCAGAGGGCTCCTTTGTGCACTGTCCCAAGCCTGCCTCTTGTCTCCAGAGAAAAATGAGCTATCTTGAGTATTAGATTCAGAAGAGTTAAGAAAAAAAGTGCTGATGGTTTGGTATAACAGGTTTGCTGATGGTCAGCAGAAATCACAGAAGAAGGTTACCTTTTGTCCCTAGTCACTAAAGCAGAAGATCAGATTTTGCAAGGCTCCCTTTCATCTGGGGGATGCTTTGCCTGGAAATTGGCTTCCAAAAGATCTGAACTTCGGAATAAAAGTCTTCTGCAAACTGAGTTACAAAACATATGGATTTATGTGCTTATTACCTTCTGTGATCTTTTAAGATATCAAGGAAGTATCCTTAGCTGTGTATTAGAAAACTCAAAGATATTTCAAGTATTTCCTCAAATATTAGCATAAGCACTTAGATCTCTTGGATGACACAAACGAAATTGTTACTGTGTTTAAATAAGAAAGTGCTACATAAGCCCTACTCCGCCTGAGCGAAACAGGAAGGAAGAAAATCCTAAGAAAACATTGTGTAACCAGAAGGACTTTCAAGGGCCATAGGTCCATTTGCAAGACATCGCTACTGTTGTAATGCAATCAGTCACCATATTGAGGTGGTTGTTCAGTATCAGAGAGGACAGACAATTCAGTTTCTGTCACCCAGTAACACTTCTTTTTCCTCATCAGGTTCTCATACAGGCATTGCATGTATCCTAATTAACCATTGGGAATCAATCTGACCCCAGAATGATCTGGCACATGGTGATCTACTCACCATGACACGCACAGTACAGAGCAGCTTTAGGCAGCATTTAGCTGTGGCTCAGACGCAAAACGAGCATGAGGACTTGGCGAGTCTCACATTTCCCATGGCCAAATTTTCATTTTTGTTCAATTTGTTTCAGGGAAAAAAAAAAAACCCACAAACAATCCTTGGGGCTTCCCATTGCCTTCCTGCTTCTAAAGGAGATCACGATCCCTGCAATTTAATATAAAAGCTTCATGGCAAGTCCAGTTAAGCAACACCAAATTTTTGCTGCTCACACCTGGTCTGCTGAAATCCCCAGGACTGTTTATCACAGGTGAACAGTGACCCATTTTCATAACAGCAAAGACCAAGACATGAATTCGCATTTCTGGATTTCTTCTTATGAACACTCCATGGGAGCAGTTTAGAGGAACCCACAGCTGGAAGTTGGCTCCTTTTTGTGCCACATGGAGCCTAATTCTTTTGCACACTCCATCTCTCATCTGAGCAACGTCCTTCACTTCCAAATAACTACACTGGTAAATTATTTCAGGGAACGTGCTGAAAATGTTAAGTTCTAGGGTAGCATATGTCATCTCATTATGCATTTAGACAGGAGAAATTTTAATATAAAGGAGAGGGAATAGCAAGATAAAGGGATCTTAAACGAGAGGAAGAGATAGTTTTAAATAATTTAGTCTGAAAAGAACAAAGATATTCAAAATGAACAAGATAAAGAGGGATGTTAATTATAAATAGGAAAATTGAGGAGGAAAAGTGGAAATATATGGGAGACAGTTTACAACACATTTATATTTCTCCCAAGCACTTAGTGGTACGATCTCAGATTTTCTCAGTAACGAGGAGATTGTTATACCAATCATATTAACCATTTTTGCTTAAAGTAATGGAATACACAGCTCTTAATCGGTCCTAGCCTGGGTGCTGATACTCTTTTAGACATCTGAAATGAATCATTTCCTTGTTCCTACTGGGTATTATGGAATGTCTGTGTGTGCTCATACATGGCCAGTTGCAGGACTTGCTACCGCCTATTGGGCTTAAACACATGAAGTGCTGCTCTGGATAGGTGTACCTTTCTAAACAAAAGCTGTAAGATAAGAGATTTCATGGTTGATCCACCAGAGATTAAAATACATAATGTATGTTTTCACCTGTAATAAAGAATCCTCTTGCATATTAGGTATGCAACAAACAAGTAACTATTCTTTTGGTTGAGCCCGAAGTAAAACTTTCATGCAGTAATCTTATGCTTTAAGAAGAAAACTTAAAATGCAAATAGAGTTTTGCTGATGCCTTTGCTAGAACCTGCTTCTTCTTACAAAAGAAAGAAATTGCTGACTTAGCACTCCCCTGCTCTTGCCTTCTCCTCCTAGACCTCCAAGAGAGCACACTGAGAAGACTGGGAGGCATAACAGAAATTGCAGGTTTTGTACTTCTTCACAGAAATATGACTTTACATTGGACAGCAAGACTATAATACACTCAAAAGTCTGCATTAAATATACATATATATATAAAGAAGTTGTCGTAGCAATGCTTGCTCTGCTTGAAACAAATTGCAGGCTGTATTTGCACAGTAATAAAGCTACACCTTTACAAAGGGAGGAGCAGCAGCGCTGTGCACACGCATGCACAAGCTCTTTATAAGCCCCAGCGCAGTCAGCCGCTCCCGACGGGATGACAGCGCAATCCAGAGTGAGCGGAAAGAGGACGGTAGGTGTCCCAGCCCCACAACACCCATCCCAAAGGTCACGTTTGGAGGAAGCACCCATCAGAAAAACAGAAACATTGGTCAGAGGCTTCAGGTCTGAAGCAGCAGCAGCCGCTATCAGCAGGGCACACGTGCCAAAAGGGATGTTCCTTCCCGAAGGGAGCAGGAGCAGCAGGGCCTGTACAAGAGAAAGGAAAGGCCATGTTCCAGCTTTCCACTTCCCTCAACTAGGTGGAACAGAAGGCCTCATTCCTCTGATGTCCCAGAGCCCCTTTCGGTTTTGGCGTTACCAAAGGTTTTAATTCACTCCTTTTCTTGAAGCCCTTATCCCAGTTTCCAAGGCAGGGAAGGGCCCTGGGGTCCATTCGCAGTAGTGGGAAACTTACCACTAATGCAAAAGCAGGAGAAAAGGAAGAGTAGAGTCAGGAAGAGAGATAATCTATTAGGAGATATGATAAATAATGAGGGGAAAAAAATACAACTAGGAAGGTAGAGATCCTTTTAAAGCTATTTAGCAACAAATCAACAATTTGTTTAGTAACAAATCTTTACAAGTATTATACCTGTCAATACAAGGCAGGGGAAAAAAAAGTGAAGATGCTGACAATTCTTCATCCCATGATCTGTGACATTAATAAATGATGAAGTGTTTAAAAAAAACTGGGACACTTTGTGCCTTTAAAAATATCACATGAGGACAAGGGAATAAAGCTGAACTAAAACAAAGGACACACTTGTGTACTGCTAACAAACAACATAAGTGAGGGACAAAAGACACAGGAACAAACAGACAAACCTCCCTAAACCATCAGATATAAGGAAAACGGCTCCCTTTTTGTCAGTAGTTATATCCAACTGGGGAAGCACGGTGGACTATGAGATAAAGAGCCCGATGCAGTCATTGTTCCAGAAACGTCTATCCCAAACCACTTATTTAAGCAGAGATGGAGGGTGAGGGGGTGGAGGTTGAGGGTTCAAAAGCAAAGCTGATGCAGGGGGATGGTCTGGGAGGTCCATGCCCCCTCCTCCCCCAGGAGGGAAGTGCTGTGGAGGAGATGGCTGAAGGGAAAACCTTTCCCTCTGAACCCACCTAGATGCTGCTCCTCTTCCTCTGCAAGTTCATGTCCCCTCCTGCTGTCCACGAGCCAACGTAGCCTCTCGGTCATTGCCCGCATGGCCAGCTCGGCCGAATGCAGGAGCAGGCCCGCCACGATGGGCAAGTGGATCTGCAGGCACCGCGGAGCCGCTGGGAACAGGACAAGCAGCTGTGTGCCTCGATCCCACCTGGAAGAGGGGGCTGCAACGGTGCCTTTTCCCCAAGAGCGGCTCTCAGCTTTCCTCAGAGGAAGCTTTCCTTGTGGTGCATTCACAAGGAGATCAAATATAAAGGAAAATCCCAGCTCAGAATTAATTGGCATACATTTTTGCAGAAGCTGGAGGGATTTTGAATTTTCCTCCTTCTAGACGAACTTGAAACACTCCTGCAGTCCCATAATTGAAGTTGTACCTGTTGTGTGTAAGCATGCAAGCTCAAGGCATGTAGCAAAGCATGGCTGTTTTTCCCCCGTTCCACCCTGTTATTCAACCAGACGCTTTCCCATTTGCTGTCTACAGCCCACGTTTATTCCTGGTTGTCCCTGCAGCCTTAGCTCCCTCCGGTTACCCGCTTGCTGTGGAGGCAGCAGCACAGAAACAAGTTTTGCTCTGCAATCCCCTTTCCCAGCCACCCTGCGCAGCTGGTGTGTCAATATAAAAAGCCTCCCTGCTCAAAGGGGTCCAGAATGATGTTTCACTGGGAAATGCTCAGCACAATTAGCCCTAGGGTTGCTCACACCACAGGCTCACCTTCCACTACTCCCCGAGATAAAGCAGAGGTGCTTCTGCAGACTCCCAACCCCCTCAGCAGGTCATTGCTAGACCCCTTAAATTAAATAAATAAAACAGCTTTCCCTTGAACCCAGCCAAGCAGCACAGCCAGTTTATGCATACAGGTACCCGTGTTTCATCTCCTGTCCAGCAGCAATCTGCACACGCAGCGAGCTCCTCGCAAGCCGCACAGCAATAATCACTGCTTATATACACCATCCCCTGTGTACTGTATATTAATGTCTGGCTGGTAATTTAATGGCACCTCTAGGCATAAACAAAAGTTTATTAAAACAGTAAGTAAAATGTTCCCAGAGACTGGCCTGCATTTCTAATTTCCTATGCAGCGCTCCAAAACACGGAGCGCAGCCACCTCGTGCAGGAAGCAAGCTACCAGCGAGCAGTGTCACCTCACACACGTCACCCACCACGCGGCCTCAGGTGCCAGGAGGCTTCACTGACATTCACTTCCCCCTTCTTTTCCGACTGCCTTGAACAAGGGCAGCCAGATGAATCCGGAGCGATTCCGAGGGTGCGCGCACGAGGGCTGGGGTGGCTGCTCACAGGGGATCCTCACCCCGTGCAGGCGGGACGGCGGCACCATCGCGCTGCAGACGCTGGCAGTGCCCTCGGTGGTGAGGAGCAAGTGCTGCCGGCTCCACGTGCCTCTTACAGCCGCTCTGGAGACGAGCCAGAGTCCTCCTGCCACCACCATAAGAGACTCCCTCAAGCTCGTTAAAAGGCATGCAGCGTATGCTCCAGGTATTCCCGCACCATTTCCACCAGCAAGGGGGTGGACAATTTCTTTGACAATATTTAAGCAAGAGCTTACACTGATTTTCACCTTACAGGTTAAGTAACAGACATATAAACACCTGAGGGAGGGAATTTTTACATGGAATAGTCACAGACAAGCAAATGGGAGCTCATGGAGTCTCTTTTCCAAGCACAAGCTCATCTACAGGACACATCCACCCACTGCCACCACCATGGCACAGCACACACCAAAAACCTGCTGCTCAGTTTTCATGAGAAACCCAATCATGGGCACTTGGGCTGAATTGGAGGTAGCCAAATGACACTCCAGCAAGCTTCCCCAACTAACTGCTCAGAGGAATAGGACCTCAGGAGGCCAGAGCAAACACAAGCAGTATCATCTCCTGGCTTGCAGCCTTGAGGAGTTTGTTATCATCTAGACTGTATTGCCTACTTGCCCTGATCAAGGACAACAAGCAATGGAGGTGGCTCCCTCAGGCAGCACCAGCACACTCTAGAGAATAACAACTTCATGTGTTTTGTACAAAGTTGAGCTTCTGTTTTTAAAAAGATGTTTTTCCCATTATTATGGGAAAATAATCTAATATCAGAATTTGCTGCTGCCCTGTTAGCCTTAAATTGCAATGGTCAGTATCCACATTTGCTTATGGCAACAGGATTTTTCCACCACCCACCACTCCCACCAAAATCTCTTGTAATCGTTACTGTTTTGCTCAAGACCAGGTGTCCAAGCTCAAGCCCTCAGCAGCAAGCATAAGGCCTGCAAAAATACCTTTGCCTCTTTTGCCCACCAGAACCTGGCGCTGCTTAGGGCACAGGATGCACAAGGCCAGTGCCATTAGCAGCAGCACACCTATGGCACAAGGTGACGTATTTCACATTCACAGCTAAACACCTGCACTGATACATTGCCTATAACAAAATATCAACATCCCCTGAAATGGACTATTTGTGCAAATAAGGGTTTACAGCACCTAATTTAGAGACACACAGACCAACCTGTCAGCCTGAGGCTGCCACACATTCCACGCACCGGCAGGGCCTCCCCACTGCGGGTGGAAATTCAGCCCATTCCCTCATGCAGACCCCGATAGCGTCTCCAGGATCTTCTTTCCAGAGGGGTTTCTTCTATATACAAAGGACTGCTTAGCACCCTCTCTCTTCAAGGTGAGTTCCTCGAACACCCTTCAATGTTACTTCCCAGTCAGGGCAGGTGTCTTATCCCATTTTTGTATTTTGGTCTCAATAAGCCATATCTCACTGTTCTGTAAACCATAAGCTGCCGCACTGCCTATATAAGGTCCACCCTTTATTTCCTTTCATGAGGACTGTGAAGATACAATGGTTAAAAATTGTAGCCCTGGTTCAACAGGGCACTTGCACAGATATTTAAGGAGCTGCAGCTGGATGAGTGGGCTGATCTTCCACTGAGCTGGAGACCTATAACCAACCTGAAATCGTATGCAATTTATGCTGTGGTAATGAGAATTATATATATGCAATGACAGCAAGCCACTGACTCTTCCATTCCAGACATGGAAAAGAAAAGTGCTGGTCAGAATGTGCAGGCTTTGCATATTCATACTTCCCACAGTTGTTCAGTGTTTGAAAATTCAGGTAATGAGCATACAATACTCTGGCTGCCTCTGTATTGCTTGGGGATACTATTCTAGTAGTATCTCTACAGAAACCATTCTATTAAGACAGGTTTTTTTTCCTCCTCAAATTGAATTAGCACTTGTACATTGAAGTTTTCAACATCACCCATAAGATTTTTGTACTTGTCAAAAGAATCTGCATGGTCTCTAACCATGAATAAAAATGATTTCAGATATCATCTTTATTTCAAGTTTTATTTCCTGGGATTAATTTAATTGATTGTGCTGGTGGCTTGTTAAGCAGCCGCTGAAATAAACAGACCATGTATTTTTTCCATGAAACTGTAAACATATGGGTCCCCAGTCTAATTACCCTCCAAACTAGTGCAAAGAAGAAAATAAACATAAAAAGGAGGAGGGGGGCGGGGGGGGCGCAGAGAAGAAGAAAGAAAGAGGAAAAACACCCTGCTTTCTGAAGTGATACCATAGACCTCACATTGTAAAGATTCTCTCACGGGAACAAACTTGAACTTGGTTAATTTTCCTTTGGTCAATTCTAACAAAATTTGATCATATAGAAGAAAAAAGGAGAGAAGTTCAGTGAACACGCACAACCTTATAACATTTTTTTGCCTCTATCCAATGCTTCTCCAAATGAGATATTCATGCTTTTCTCTTTCTTTGCTATAACTAGAAGTAATCCATAAATATATTGATATAATTCTTATTTCATGCTTATAGCAGATATTCTTGGTTTGTGTTTATTACACTCATTTTAGCCTCATTTTATATCCATGTAACATGTCAGGATCTAAATTGAAAACTCTAGCGAAAATACATTGGCATATGCTCCTTTGGTTTAAACACTTTTAGTTCCCCATAGACAGTACTGCTAAAGCATACATCATTACCAACAGGAAACACAAAGAACCAACACTTCAGAGCATTTAGGAATTATTTAATATCCTAACAGAAATTTGATAGCCTTGTTTTCTTCATTATCCTCAAAAAAAGGAAAAGACTTACCTCGAGTGGTAGAAACAATTGGAAGCCTTGCTGTCTTACAGCAAGAAACAATCACTTCTATAATAAGACTTGGAAAATACAAGTCAAAAAAATCCATTATCAACATCCTTTTTTACACCCAGAGAAGCACCATTTCTAGCAGTATGCATGTATGAGATGAATGAAATGTTAATAAACAGCATGGTTATCGACAAACCAGAGGAAAGTTGTGCAAGTAAGGCTTGTTACATCAAGCCTAGCCATGGCTTTTCCTTCTCTTTCGCCCTCCTTCAAGGGGATGGAGATTTTTGCTCGAGCTTTTTGCAAGCTTTCCAGGAGATCAAGGTTGGTGCAGGGGGGCAGAGAGGCTGAAATGGCTGCTGTGGATCCACTCAAACATTCAGTTCATCTTACAGTGTCCTGGTCCATCTTTGCCTTTAAAGAGGATGCCTCTCAAAGGCCTGGAGGCTGCACATCTGCCTGTGCACCCAGAGGCTTTCAGGAGACCAGGCTTCATCCCAGCCTCCTCACTGGGTTCAAGCTCCTAGGGAGGACTACAGGGCTCGTTGGAGAGGTGACCCACACAGCTCTCCCAATCTTCTCAATGACATACAAGATTGAGGGCAAACCAAAAGTTAGCTTCTAAACGCTGGACGAATAAGAATCCTACTAAGAGGCTGCCACCAGGCCACTGGCAGCTAAAATTATCTATTTACTTATTTAGTAACAAGAATAAGTACTCCAGGTTTCTCAGACCAGTTTACAGCTTGGAGGTCCACCTACCTTGGAATAGCCCATTTTTACCCTTTATGGAAGAACACACACAAAAAAGTTTTGAAGTCTCAGGAGCCCGAAGAGAAGTGGCATTCGTGCATAAGGAGGAACCCCTGTACAAAAGGACAAACAGTATTTGAATTACA